GAGCTACGATCGCAAGCGGAAATCGGCCAATAAATACAGAGTTGGAGATGTCGTGGCGATTCAGCGTACGCAACTCGGACCAGGCCTGAAAGTACGTCCCAAGTTTTTAGGTCCGTATAAAATAACCATGGAGTTGCGGAACGACCGATACCTAGTCGAGAAGCTGGGAGAGTACGAGGGGCCGGCACGCACGAGCACGGCAGCCGATCATCTCAAGCCTTGGCCGAGGCAAGGCTGGGATCCGGATATCGACGTACTAGGAGGAGATGACGACGATCCAGACACTCCGAGCATCGAGGGCGATGCTGAATGCAGGATGACCGAGTGTGGGATCGGTGGTGAGAGCGCCACCTCGGGTCCCTGTGAAGGGGAAGGAACTACGGCGGGGAAGAAGGAAGGAGGACGACAGTAGTCGCCATACTAACATACGCGAAGGACGACGTGTACCGAATAGCAATAAAAGTCCTCGTGATTTACCCTGATCTCTACCGTTCTCGTTCGACGACCCCTCCCTAGCCAGATCCTACAATATCAGATGTGTCTAGATGGACGATACTGATAGCATGTAAAATAGTAGTTAGAAACAAAAACCAGATGCGTCTCTTCTGACGGTACTGGTGTACATAAATCCCAGGAACATCTATTCTGATGGTACTGGGAAAATATGAACATATCAGATGTGTCTAGTTGGACGGCACTAATTGTAATAAAAATTAGAAGCGTCTGCTCTTACTGATTGACTGTCTCGCTTGTGCAATACGACATGCTTCAGTCGTGTTATTTGCAGCTGTCAAACCATGCGAATTTTTAGAGAGAGCAAATGGCGCGCGCAAAGCGCGCGCTTGTGTTGTCTAGTATTAAAAAAAAGTTATAATATTTCAAATATATTTTAGAGATAAAACACATCTCAGTGAAACGTTTATTTTGACGATATTAGCAAACTAAGCCAGAAGCATATATTCAGACGGTACTGATTGTAGTACAATTGAGAAGCGTCTGTTCTGACAGTACTGGTAAATTTAATACTAGAAGCATCAATTCTGATGGTAGTACATATAATAAAAATCAGATGTGTCTTATCATGATACTAGTCATTGCAATTATTTGTATATTTGAATCGGAGAGACGGAAAAATTTTATTGGTTGCGTTCTCACGAGAATGGGCGTTAGGAGGGGCTCATTTTATATTTTCCATATTTAAAATAATCAGCGTATTGCGTTTCGCGTGTACGTACACATGTGTACATATGCATACGTTACATTTTGTATTATATAATATGTTTTACACTTCCGTGTACATGCAGGGCTGCGTTCAGAAACATCTCCCAAATGCCCCAGTGTATCATTTTATCCTTGTCTGTAAGCAACAAGGATAGAATGTTACGCTGGGGTACTTGGGTGACGTTTCTGAACGCAGCCAAGGGTGTCTGACAAGTAACTAACCAATCGAAAAATGCAAATTGATTGAGTCAAACTGAGAAGATAGGCCAGATTAGGCAGGCCAAAGCATTTTATTTCTCAGATCTCTTAGCGACAGTGAATATCGATCGGCTAGCGAGACGTGCAGCGGTGTGTGACATGCCAAAAACAATTGTCATGGCAGCGAGCGGCACCGCGGCGAGCCTCAGATAACGAGGCGCGTGGACAATAGTTCCTCGATGTCTCGCGCGCGCGTAGTACGAGTATCGCCAAAAAGTATTGTCGCGAAAAAGTATTGTCGCGAAATTTTTTCTCTGCGGTAATGTAGAAATGGTCATGCAGGAATTAAAAATGTCGACAATTACCGACATTATCGATTTTTTAAATTCCGTTCAGATGAGGGCGCTATCCCGTCGGAGTTGGCCCGTCGCTCCAGCATCCCCTTAAGGGGATGCTGGAGTCTGTCTGTTTTACCGACAACGCGAAAGTTATGTATGTGTGCGTATATGTATGTTACATAAAAAAGAAAGAGAGAGCAATAATACGATACATCTTTCCTTGTCTACTAGATTGCAGCGCCATCTTATCATCATGCAGTGCTCTACTTATCATTCTACAGCTGTATTTGCATTTATAAATTTTTCTCTAACCCTATCACTTTTTTCTAGACATTTAATCTTACAATTAGTTCCAAGTACACAATATTGTTCTTGCATGTTGTCTCTAGGTTTCTCCGGTCTCATTTTGCAGATATAAACTATAGAATTTTTGTATAAGCAAATATTTTCGTCATGTGACAGCTCTACATGCCAAAATATTTAATTTTTTTTCGTTTTTTATATAAATTCGAGTAGACAGACTTTTATTTTTGTGCGAACTTTAATCGTGTACAAGAAATTTGCAATTCTGTAAAGCCAATTAAAAGATATCCCTAATTAAAAAATGTCGGTAAAACAGAGAGACTCCAGCATCACCTTAAGGCTCCTGGTCCCTGAGCCGAGAACTCCGCGATGACGGTGGCGATATAGTCGCTAGCAGTAGGAATAAGAACCCTGTCCTAACGACTTACCGCATGATAAGTGAATTTATCATAATCTGTATTGCCCATTCTACACCTAGGGATGATCCTACTTTTACCACATCTGATACCCCTTCTATACCTAAAGCTAATCCTACTTGCAACTTATCCGAGGGAGTAGTATAAAGTGTAAAAGGGTACACTGTAGTTGTACTTTGATACGATTGGAAACCAACCAAAGTGTAAACCTTTTACACTTTATACTACTCCCTCGGATAAGCTGCAAGTAGGATTAGCGTTAGGTATAGAAGGGGTATCGGATGAGCCACAAGTAGGATCATCCCTAGGTGTAGAATGGGCATATGGGTGCATTTGGTGAGCTCGCTGTCACGCTACCAACGCAAACGCTACCAAAGCTGTTCGTGGAGCCAATTTTAGTCGAATATCTTTTTATTTTAAAACGCAAGAATTCTCAGCGTGTCATTGTTCGCCTCTGACAGCGTGGGATAAATACTCGTGCAGTGCCCTGTCGCCGGCTGAAGTATTAGGCGTGAAAAGTGACAGATTGACAACACAATTTATTGTTGCGTGGATTTTCGTAATTATTTCTTTTACGCTAGTTCTGTTACGTGTGACCTATTCGTGAAACCCCTAAAAAGCTCCGAAAACTAAGATTAGCGAGGAATTCTAATCGTAGAAAGACATTTTCCACTCCTTTCGGCAGTGTCAAATCATGTGTTTTCCTGCATAATTTGACTAACTTTGACGTTTACTGTAGAGTTGTTTATTAGCTGCCAAGGGAAAAGGATAGTTTACGGAGTCTTTTGGAAGTGTGCTAAAACGGACTAAAGTGTACTTTTGGTCGAATATCTTTTTATTTGGAAATGCCACGCAACAATTCTTGGTGTGTCATTTCTCGCTTCTGACGTCACAATTCAATATGGCCGCAGTGACAACCCAGGAGCCTTAAGGGGGTGCTAAACCCGTCTGTTTTATCGACATTTTTGTTTAGAATTAATCTTTTAATTGGCTTTATAGAAATGCAAAACTCTGTTACGGAATTAAAGTAAGTACGCAGCCAAATCTACATTATTCTGGTCGACTTTATATAAAAAACAAAAAAAAATTAAAAATTTTACTAATTTTTGGCATACTTGACGACAATATTTGCTTGATACAAGAATTCTACAATAAATATATACCAAATGAGACCAGACTAGTCTAGGGATAACATATAAGAACAATATCGTGCAATTAGAACTAAGATTAATAGCCTAGAAAAAAAGATTACTTCTAATTACCGCAAGTCTAAAAATCCAATTCTAGAAGACGAGAAGATCAACATGGCGTGTAAAAATAGTTGCAGGCTTTCTCGAGAGACGTCACTGCCAAACATCTGTCATGCCCATTCTACACCTAGGGATGATCCTACTTGTGGCTCATCCGATACCCCTTCTATACCTAAAGCTAATCCTACTTGCAGCTTATCCGAGGGAGTAGTATAAAGTGTAAAAGGTTTACACTTTGGTTGGTTTCCAATCGTATCAAAGTACAACTACAGTGTACCCTTTTACACTTTATACTACTCCCTCGGATAAGCTGCAAGTAGGATTAGCTTTAGGTATAGAAGGGGTATCGGATGTGGTAAAAGTAGGATCATCCCTAGGTGTAGAATGGGCATCAGATTGTCGGTAAAGCCATGGTGTCGACGATTCTAGAATTCGATCCAAAATCTCGATCTGAGCAATGTGTAGCTAATATAACCAATCAATTTGCAACTTTTACGAAAAAGCAGCAATTTTATTAGCTACACATTGCTCAGATCGAGATTTTGGATCGAATTCTAGAATCGTCGACACCATGGCTTTACCGACAATCTGACAGATGTTTGGCAGTGACGTCTCTCGAGAAAGCCTGCAACTATTTTTACACGCCATCTTGATCTTTATCTCGTCTTCTAGAATTGGATTTTTAGACTTGCGGTAATTAGAAGTAATCTTTTTTCTAGGCTATTAATCTTAGTTCTAATTGCACGATATTGTTCTTATACGAGTATGTTATCCCTAGACTAGTCTGGTCTCATTTGGTATATATTTATTGTAGAATTCTTGTATCAAGCAAATATTGTCGTCAAGTATGCCAAAAATTAGTAAAATTTTTAATTTTTTTTGTTTTTGATATAAAGTCGACCAGAATAATGTAGATTTGGCTGCGTATTTTAATTCTTGTCGATAAAACAGACGGGTTTAGCATCCTCTTAACTAAAAATATGTATGTAATGTATAAAAGAAATTACTTTCTTCAAACTTCTACATAGCAAGGTGATGTAAAATGACGTTTTAATGACGTCTCTAGCGTCAATAGGACGTCTTTAAAACGTCATTTAACGTGGTCTTGGTATTTACGTTATTTTTTATGTAACTAAAAATTGTTCTTTCTCCTTTTTAGATATAAATATCATTGAGATTTCTTGAAAGAGCTTGAAAATTTTGATCTATATATATATTAAGAAAGTTGAAAAAGAAAAAAAACTTATAACTAATTTCATAAAATTATCTTGTAGTCACCAACACCAGCGGCAGCATGCGGAAATCGGTATAATATTGGCTTCAGAGTTGCTGATAAGGAGAATATAGTAAATTTACACAATCGATTGAGACGAAAAGTCGCATCCGGTCAGGAAATCAGAGGAAGCCCTGGTCCGCAACCTCCTGCAGTTAGCATGCCAGACTTGGTAATGCGTAATACTTAATATATTACTATTACGTAATATATAATTATTACAGTAAATTAAAAATAATTGAATATTGGACATTGAATAAATGTATACATATATCCTAATTAATTTCCTCAATTAAATTTTGCTTCCTCATTGAGGAAGCTTTGTTTTCGTGAAAAATTTTTTTTCCAGTTTTCTTAGGTAATATGTTTAAAATGTTTTAAAACTAAAAAATGTGTGCGTGCGTGCGTGCGTGCGTGCGTGCGTGCGTGCGTGCGTGCGTGCGTGCGTGCGTGCGTGCGTGCGTGCGTGCGTGCGTGCGTGCGTGCGTGCGTGCGTGCGTGCGTGCGTGCGTGCGTGCGTGTGTATGTGTGTATGTACGCATTCGAATGTCTGTGGTTGCTGTAACTTCTGTAAATTTTGAAATATCGGGCTAATTTTTTTTTTAAAACGTATAGAATCACTAAAGGAAGGTTCGTATTGATTTTTGCGATGATCGGT